AGATGTCTTTCAAGATGAAGTGCTGTGTACCAATTTCAGAGAAAAATGTGAATGCCATGGCTTCAACCAAGCCTTCCCAGGATTGCCCCGTCAAATTGATAATTTAAAAATAACAGGAAATATCAGCTGATTCAGAGGAGGGGAGGAAAAGGGAAAGGTCATCTTGTATTTGCTTTATTCAGTTTCTGAGACATGCAAAGGTTTTGGTGATCAGTGAAATATTAGGACACAGAGAAACTGGTGAGTCAATAGGCCTAGCAAGTCCAATATATATTTCTGAAAAAGGCAAATATGAAGTGCCTTAGAGAAAGGTCTGTACAATGGTGTGGATTTGTGATGGTCCTTCGTTCCAGTGGCATGAGGATTGTGATGGTCCTTGGATCCCCTGGGGCAGTTAATTCCATACTCTCACACTGGTCTGTGGGGGAAGTGTTATATCCCTAACAAACGAGCTTTGCTTGTCAGAAGAGCACAATTGTTGACCACACTTTATAGCCCGCAGCTTTAAGTAGCACACTGGCCCAGGCTGCGGAGTGCCTACTACATGAGGACCTGATAAAGTGGGTCTTTGCCCACAGAAGCTTATGCTCCAATAAATCTGTTAGTCTATAACCGTGTTTCTCAAACTGTGCTCTGCAGAGCCCCAGGGCTCTGCCAGACATCTCCAGGGGCTCTGCAAGGTTGACAAACTGGAAACATCGATAGGTACAACACATACAATCAGCGGTCAGCTGGGGCTCCGCATAAATTTTTACGCATGTAAAGGGCTCCGGAGCCCCAAAAGTTTGAGAACCGCTGGTCTGTAAGGTGCCACAGGACTCCTCCTCGCTTTTACATAAGGACCATCGTCTTGAATTTGGGATGAAATTCATGGGAGGCCAGTGTAGAGAGCAGAGGGCAGGTTTGCTGGGCTCATAGTAATTTCTGTTGTTGAGCTACAAGGCATCATTCTGCACTAACTGGAGTTTCCTCAGTGCTGAATGCTTCCTGCCCAGATATCTCACATTGCTGGAATCCTGCCAAGAGGTGACACAGCTATGAATGTCTGATGTCAGGTCGTTGCCTGCTCGAGTGGGACGGCATCTCCTAGCCAGCCAGAGATGACGAGCAGGGTCTGTGAGAAATCCTTTCCATGTGAAAACAGCGTCAGTAAGGAATCCAAGAGTTCTCTAGACCATGGATGTGCACCTTCAATTCAAGGAAACTGCATCAAGGCTGCAAACTCTCCCAAGGTCTTTCCTCTGCTCCCTGACATCCCTTTTGTTCAGGTTCAGCATCTGCCAGATGCTCTTTATCATGAGCTCATCTTGTTCAAGGACTGGATCACCTGGGTGGTAGTGTGACTGTATGTGGTAAAGGACGAGATAGAGCTGTCAATCATTTGGCACTTGAGTCCATGCCTGACCAGTTCACCCAAAGTGGTGTAGCTGCAAAGCTTCTTGTAAATGAATTGAGAAACTGTTGTATATGGGTTTTGGTTCAACTGGACCTGGGCTAGATCTTGGTTACAATGCTTGGGAAAACTGTGTGTTACTGCAAGGTGAGGTACATCCTTTGCTAACTCTGTGTTCCGGTCACTGGTTATTTCAGTGCCTTTTTGCTTAACTGGGCCTTGGAGCTCTGATGGCTTCCTGATGCATTCTATGAGCACATCAGGACTAAAGTGTTAAGAATAAGAAATATGGAGCTACATAAATGTTTGGGGCCACCAAAACTTTAATGGTTTGATTTAGCTACATTAGCAGCTCCTCAGTACGCACACTATAATTTTAGTATTCCTGTTAGAATGCAACATACCTATGAAACTGGGCTAGAGAGTGAGCCAAAGGAATGCATGTTGAAAGAGATTGTTTTTAATTATTTTTGAAAATCAAAGCACACGTGTTTTACTCGTGGGCTGTTTGGGGATGGCGTGAAACAAATTTGTGCTTCTGTGCCATAAACTCAATTTAATTTGGTACAGCACTTGATCTGAAAATAAGTTATGGATGGTCCCTGAACTTCACAGTCCTGATGAGGAGACAAAACGCATTCGCTAGCAATTCTCAGGTACACCAACATTTAATCTATAAGGGTATATCTACACTGCCCCCTAGTTCGAACTAGGGTGGCTAATGTAGGCATTCGAAGTTGCAAATGAAGCCCGGGATTTAAATATCCCGGGCTTCATTTGCATCTTGCCGGGCGCCGCCATTTTTAAATCCCCATTAGTGCGGACTCCGTGCCCACGGCTACACGCGGCATGGAGTAGGTAGTTCGAATTAGGCTCTCTAATTCGAACTAGTATATCTCGTGGAACAAGGTGTACCGGTAGTTCGAATTAGAGAGCCTAATTCGAACTACCTACTCCATGCCGCGTGTAGCCGTGGGCACGGAGTCCGCACTAATGGGGATTTAAAAATGGCGGCGCCCGGCAAGATGCAAATGAAGCCCGGGATATTTAAATCCCGGGCTTCATTTGCAACTTCGAATGCCTACATTAGCCACCCTAGTTCGAACTAGGGTGGCAGTGTAGACATACCCTAATAGATTTAGCCCCTATAAAAGTTGTAACTGGATTGTTGAGACATTAAATGAATCTGTTTGTTTAATCCCCAAATAGAGGGAGATAATGGGCCTCTGAATTTTGCTTGGTGTTTTATTCCTAAGAAGGTAACTTGAAACATCATTATTAGTGTATCTCATACAGATCGAACCTCGGAAAACTAGGATAGTCTGGTCTGGCAACATCCAGACCACAGATATTGCTGGACCAGAGCCTCAGTCGGCCGGGGTCAGGACTGCAGCCCAGGCAGGTCTGAGGGCAGCAGGGCTGGCGTCACGGGCAGTGCAGCCCTGGCTGGGGCTGGGAGTGGAGCCTAGTGGCTAGGGCTGGCACCCTGGGAACAGGGCAGACAGCTGGGAGGGGAGCCTTGACTTGCTCAGTCTGGGACTGCTCATGTCTTGAGGGGAACAGGGAGTCTAAGCTGTGATTTGAAATGTTGTCAGTATTTTTCTGAGTTCTGTAGTCCAATAAGTTCTCATTCATGAAATATTGAACCAGTGACCTTAGCTATTCACTTATGATGAAAGGCCCAATATAACATTTTATTGAGAATGGTATTTATGAAAAATGAAACTGCTCATTTTTATTAATCAATAGCAGAGTAAGTCATCTATATCATTAATTTGATTAAAAAAGGTCATACTCGAATTGGATATTCCACTCCCATCTCATCTAGTTTAATTTTAATAACCAAGAAAGCAAAAGGAGATAGCAGAAGGGAAAATCACTGCTCTTGCTACATTGGCCAGGGCAAGTCTGGAAGAGCACCCTTCTGCTATCTGATGGGAACACATTTAATGTGAAATAGACAAATCTGCAGAAGAAATAAGTAGTTCTAAACTGCTCACAAAAATGGATTGAGTCCAGTTTTGCATATTGAACACTGTTGTCAGAGCCCGACTTCGTTTTCTTTTGATCACTTCTGACTTGAAAAGGGGGATTAGGTTGAAGCACAAAATGCTGTGACACATTGGTTTCTGAGGTAAATAGCTATGCAAACTTCAGCCATTGAAAGGCACTTACTTAAATAAATGCCTTTAATGGGTACTATAGAAGGAATGATTTTTCTTGAAGACCCTTTATTCACATGTTACTTTTTGTTCTCTTTTAGCATCTGACCTCTTTGAGCCTTTGTTCTAGGAGAAGGGTGATCAGTTACTAAAACCCAAGTAATGCCTGTGATGCTATTACAGCAGCTGCACTCTGAGGCTACCACTCAGCCCAGAGAGCTGGCCTTCTGCCTCCTGCTATTCTGTGTGGATAATTCACCCTTCCCATCTTAACTTTAGAACTGGCCAGGACTTAGTTGTCTGAAATTTCATGAGTTTCATGTGCCAGCCTCAGTCTCAGAGTTGCTCATTTGTGTGTTGTGGCTAAATTAATGCCAGCTATGCATAACCTTAAAAGTCCAGAGCAGTGTTTAAATGTAAGGATTACTTCAGGGAAGAGAAGGTGAGAGAATAGCTAGAGGGGCTTTGTAGGGTTCACAGCCTCCACAATGAGATTGCTGGGAGAAGGTTTTGGGGGAGGATGACAGAGAGGCAGGAATGTTTTGTTACTCAATCGATTCTTAAAGAGCCATCCAAAATCTGACTCCACCAAATGTTGTTGTATATAAACAATCTAGTGTGGATGCAGTAATGAGACACATTTTTCTTCATGAATTTAATGGAATATTATCATTTGTCCTTCAGATTGCCAAAGTAGTCTGTCTGTCTAGAGAGGGTTATATGCCTTTGAGATAAGAGTGGAGTGTTCTTGCTACTTGGGAAAGCTAGTATCACAGTCTGTAGCAGAGAGGTATGTTTGTGGAATTTTATGCTTAACTGTCTGACCTTTGTTGTTGCAGAATTTTGAATGTGCAGTTTTTGAAGTTTTGGGATTAATGTACAGCAGAAAATCCCTCTAATCTTTTCCATCCATGTGTGGAATATTGTTTTTATATGCACTGAGACGTGTGCCTGTGCACCATCATTATAAACACTAATCTAGCTGTAAGAACTCTGCTAATCTGCTGGGCAGCATTTGACTTTCTCCTGAGCAGTTGCACGAGTGCCCAGCTTACAGGGAACACTTTCAGGGTCTGGTGTGAAACCCTGAGGTTTTATACTATTTCTTCAGAGTTTGCTTTAGCCATTCTATGTCACACAACACTGAAATGGGAACATACTGTCTTGGTCTAATTAAAATAATATATGTGCACAAAGGTAAGGCATTTTGTAACTGGCTCCTGCTTTTCCACTCAGGTTTGTAAGCTGGTACTGTTGTGATAACATTGGAAAACGTATAACATCAAAATTGGTGCTTTATTTAAATATTACAGTATAACTTTCTTATACTTGGTACTTAATATACTAAACGGTCTGTGATGTGTCTGATGAGGTTTTGTTTCAGGGCTGATTCTGATAACAATGATGTTGACTGTGCTGTGTTTGAATTTTGTTCCTTTTCACAGGCCTCTCAGGAAGAGCTGAAAGCTGCTTATCGCCGACTATGTATGTTGTACCATCCTGACAAGCACAGAGACCCAGAGCTCAAAACACAAGCTGAACAACTATTTAACCTTGTACACCAGGCTTATGAAGGTCAGTGGAACTCTTAGGTTTGTAGTGACAGTTCTCCTAGTTCTCCAACTTTTTTATACCCAAGATCACTTTTTAAATGTTAGGACAAGCCAAGATCTACCCCCCATCCCTTCCCCAAGACCCCACCCCTTCCTTGAGGTCCTGCCCTCTCTGTTCCCCCTTCTCTCCATCACTTGCTATCTCCAGCCCTTATACACTCTCACGGTACGGCTACACTGCTGCTTTTTTCAATCCTTCTGTTGGGCCAAATGTCAGAAAAATCTCTTCCATCTAGTTTGGGCCAAATGTGTGGGGGAATAAAAAACCTTCTTTTGGAAGCCCCTTTATTCCTTGTGGAATGAGGAATACACAGGCTGTCAAAAGAGCATGTTTGCCAGAAAAACTCCTGCAGTCTAGCTGTACCCTCACTGGGTTGAGACAGGAGGTGCGGGCTCTGGGGTGGGAATGAGGGATTTGGGTGTGGGAAGGGGTGAGAGGTGCAAGCTCTGGGAGGGAATTTGGATACAGGAGGAGGTGGAGAAGGGAATGCAGGCTCAGGCTGGGGAGTGTTGGGCTCAGGTGGAGGGTTGGGGTGCTGAGCAAACCACAGGCTTGTGGCTATGAGGGTGCAGGAGTTTGGGTTGGAGTGTGTGAGAGGCTCAGGGCAGGGAGGTTGGGAGTATGATGAGCTCAGGCCACAGATTTGCAGTGTGTGAATGGTGCAGGAGTGTTGTGGCAGAAGACTGAGGATGTGGGGATGCAGGAGTTTGGGGGTGTGAGAGGCTCAGGATAGGGGGTTCCAGTGTATGATAGACTCAGATTTGGGGTCAGGGTGGGGGGTACAGGAATGTTATGATTCTGTGGCCAGATGAGGGCTTGGCCCCAATTGGGGGCTTGTTGCCCCCAGGGGCAGGGGACAGGATGCTGTGGCAGGGGACAGGATGCCGGTGGGTGCCGGGGCAGGGGCCTGGGTCAGGGTGCTGTTGGGTGGTGGGGCAGAGGACAGGGTACTTGTGGGGGTCTGGATGGGGGGAGGGGACAGGGACTGGTAACTGGGGATCCTGCAGCTGCGCGCCAAGGTCCAGGAAGTGCGCGGGCTGCTCCCCCGACCTCCAAGCAGTGGCACGGTACCTGAAACGCTGGTCCATCATGTGTCTGCTGCCTTCCTGAGCTGGGGAAGGGGGAGTCCTGGACCACGCCAGCTCCAACTACTCGGACAGCGCGCGCCTTGCTTCTCCGCTCCCCATGGCAGCGCGCGGCTGCCTGAGCAGTTGGAGCTGGTGCAGTCCCAGACTCCCACTCCCTCCCTCCTTCCCCCATGCACAGGAAGATAGCAGGGGAACAAAGTCCCCAGTGCGTGATGGACTGGTGTTTTAGGTACCGCGCTGGCTGTTTGCGGGCAGCTGGGGGAGGAGCAGCCTGCACACTTCCGGGATCTGGTGCGCAGCTGCAGAACTTCCTCCCACCCCACAGGAAACTCGTTGTCCCTGGAGGTAGCATCAGCACAGTGTTCATCTTGGCAGTGGGGGACAGCGGGGGGGGGGCCCTCCTGAAAGCCTCACGATTGACTGGTTGAGCCCCCAGGATCGACTAGTCAGTCGCGATCGTCGGGTTGGTGGTGACCACGGTCCTAGTAGATGCTGGATTTTCTGGTAAATCAGTTGTGGAATCTGAATAGTGAGAGAGAGATTCCTTTGTGCTCTTTACATTTGATGTAGGTGGTATCATGAGCTTTCATGGGCAAAACCCACTTCTTCAGGTGAAGAAGTGGGCTTTGCCCACGGAAGCTCAAGATACTATCGACATGTTTTGTTAGTCTTTAAGGTGCGACTAGACTGTTGGTTGTTTAACTTTTTCCTGTTAGACTAACTCAGCTCCCCTTCTGAAGCTTTTTTACATGTGATGGTTAGTTTTGTTTTCATTTGGTGTTTTGAAAAACGAATACTTTGTTTTCCAGTGGATGGAAAATGAGTATGCTGGAAGACCAAGAGTTGCATTCTACTCTGGGATCCAATTAGGGTCTGTCTTTTTGTAATCTTATTACAATTTATTTTAATGACTTTTTACCTGTCTAGATTGCCAGCTATAACTAAGCAGGATCTATTTCGTAAATATAATATAAACACACATCTTTACCAGCTTCTTACTCTGTGCATTACCTAATGTAGGCTGGACTTTCTGAAAATCACATTGTATGAAAAACTGTGAAAAGCTTACATGAGAAGTATGCAGTCAATGGTTTTTGTACATCATACTACAGATTAGGGTTAGCTGTTAGCCATCCCTTTGTGATGATGGTTACATAGCGTGCTGGGAGATCTGTCTCCTGGTGCGTGTGGGTGGCCATGCTTTCGGTTTAAAGTACCACTACAGAGCACTTTCAGTGTTTAAGTGTAGATAAAGCCTTGGAAGAAGATGGAGTCCTTACCTCATTCATTGTGTATCTCCACTCATTTTTTTCACTATGCAGGATTCCAGTCTCTGTTCTATATGAGTTTAGTGAGAAAGTTCCATGCCAACTGTGCATGTGTGAGTTTGAACTTGCCTTTCCTTGGTCAAATCAAAATAAATTTTCACTCTAACAGAAGAACTTGTAATTAGAAAAAATGTTGTTTCCGGGTCAAATATCAGCTTTCAGTCCCAAGCCATGTTGGCCATTAGAGTTGTTAAAATGAATAAATAAGTTATTACAATACAAGAATATTCTTGCAGCTCAACATTTTTCAGTCTCTAGTTTTGTTTAAACTTTTCAGAAAAATTCACCTTGAACAGAGACCAGTGCTCAGCAACTTCAGACTGAAAGGCAACTTGAGTTTTTCTTTTTACGGAAGGGTCCCGAGTTTCCATTCCCCGTCACCCACTCTGTGCATTCTCAGCATGGGGAGAGAAATGCTCCCCAGAGCTGCTCACACTCACACTCTAACTATATGGCAGCGTGGGCAGTGGCTAGGGTAGCCGTGGACCTGAATGTGTTTCCAGGGCGTCAGGTGATTAGCTCAAGTTGCCGCCTGACTGCCACAGCCACTGCTATGTTCAGAGAGCTAGTTTGCGCAGTAGGACGCGTCTGTCTGCCGCTCTGGGAAGCATGGTGCCAACCGCAGTGTAGCTGTATCCCCATGGTCTTCACTTCTTTCTTTAGTGAAGCTTCCCCACATTTGAAGGCCTAGTTAAGGGCGACATAGCAAGAGTACTTTGTATGTAATGTCTCCTCCTCCCAGGGACCTCCACGCATGTTAACAAAGAATGAATTTAACGTCCTGTCCGGTAAGTACTGTTGGTTTTCCAAGCTGTCAGTGGTGTAAGTGAGTGTGCGGGAGTGTGCTCACCACGTAAGGCCTGAAGGATGCAGGTGGCTTTGTGCACTTTTTACTACCTCAGCTGTGCCTAAATGAGGAGCTCGGGCGCAATGAGGACAGTTAAAGAGGACGCTTAGCTGGACGGGAACAGCAAGGGCTGAACAAAGCCCAGCAGTGGAGAGCAGAAGGGGCTGCGGTCACTGTCAGGGTGACACAAGGCGAGTAGCACACAGGTCTGGCAGTAAGAGTTAGGACTGTGCAGACCTTGACTCTTTGTTGTTCTGTTCCTGGGCTCAGATCCAGGATAGAGGTCAGGCCTGGGTTCCCCTCCCAGCCAGAAGGGAAGTGGAACAGGTCAGGGGACAGTGAAAGGGAAGATTTATCTCCTAAAATGAAGACTTTTCATACCACAAATACAGTCTAGTTTTCTAGCTTGATTTACTGGTTTAACTAAAAATGAGATTTTAGTGGCTAGTGAGGCAGCTAGAATGTGCTGGGTGATGAATCTGCATAGCTGAGGCAAATTTAATTTTACCAGTTTTGGATTTCTAGTGGGGGGCGGATGTACTGAATTCATTTCAGCAACAGATTTGATTTGAAATGGTTTCCCTCAGATTATCTAGGCTTGGCTGATGTAGTCTTGTAGGTGTCTGAATTATTGATCGTTAGCTTGCAACATTTGGAGATTTGGGAAGAAGTAAATGAAATGTAAGTGAATTAGGAACTAGTAGGATTGTTCTGTAGTAAAACTGCTGCAGCAGCAAACTTGACACTCAGTGATTTAGCCCAGAGGGAAGTTAAAACAAAACAGCAAATAAATTATTCCTTATTAAATCCCAACGAATTTGCTGAAGAAATTTCAATTCTGTTTTCTGAATGGTCAGCATTTCTTTCTGCCTATTAGATTTGAACATGGGTGGAATTGTTTAAATCACCTTTAATTAGGTCTGAACATATATGAAAATTCTCAGTTAAAAGAAGAAAAAAATTATTCAAGGCTTCAGTGGGTGGTGACAGAGAAACTCAGAACCGTCTATTTAAAAAAAAGAATTATATTTTAAATGTTCTGGAAATTCAGAGAGTGCTGACATTCTGCTGTAAACAGGTCAATTTTCTCTTTACATTTCCTGGCGTGCACGCGCGCTTTCTCTCTCACTTACGTGTTGAAACCTAAACATAAACTGTTGCTTATTCAGCACCAAATGGCTTTACAGACACGGCTGGGCATTGCAAAAATTAAAACCCATGGCCAACTACATCTGTTAGTCTTTTGGGGGAATTATGGAAAATAGTAACTACCGAGGATAGGTGACTAGCTCCCTGATTTCTCCATTGTTCAGGTGGAAGCTAATTTTCCATTATAAGCCTGTTGTTTTTGAAAACCTAGCCGCTCCCCTTAGCTTCACAAGATCCAAAACAAGGCATCTGAAATCTTAGCCAAGGGTAGAACTGTTCTCTGAAGCGTGGCATGAATTAGAGAGCTTTTGTACCGGAAACCCTCTCGGTTTACGGAATCGCTGTTCGTGGTTCTACATATTTGCGAGGTCTCCTAGCGTGGAGTCGGGTAGCGGGGTCTGGAGCCACAGTGAACTCACAGCGGTTCTCAGCCCACAGTTCTCTATGGCTCTTGGCAGCTGCAGTGAATTCCCCGTGTTAAGTTGGGAAGCCACAGGCAGATTACTGAAGGGGGGTGTCAAGCTGCGACCCGACCCCCCAGTGTTTATGAATTTTACCATTCGTGGTGGATGCGAGAACGCATCCACCACGATTGGGGAGGGTTTCCTGTAATGGCTACATTGGTGCCAGGGGAGTTCACAGATTACAAACATTTTTTTCAAGATTTGTTTGTTGTTTGTTCATATTTTGTCCCTATTACTGGGATGGTTGTTGGGAGGAGTTTTGCGGGAGTTTGCAGTCACATATATGCTTTTTCACTTAAATGATAAGAGAGATTCGTCTTTTCAAATGGCATTTGGCAAGGTGTTCATGGCTTAGTATAAATGTTATGACTTCTGCTTGGCCCAGATTGGCACAGCAGTCATAGGTGGAGTAGCAGGCAGAGAACCACATGGAACCGGGTCGATGTGGTATAGCAAGTGGAAAGAAGGAAGCCAAATGGTATGATTTTATACAGGCAGTCCCCGACTTACGCGGATCCGACTTACGTCAGATCCGCACTTACGAACGGGGCTCTCTCGCCCCGGAGGTCGAGGTGGCGGATTGCTACCTGCGAGCTCCGGGGCGAGAAAGCCCCGTTCGTAAGCTGCTCCGGTGCCCCTGG